GAAACCCGAGACTAAGTTTACATATCGTTTGACACTTTAAAGGAAAGTATGCTTGTAATCGTGAGGGAGTTGGTGTTCCTAGGCACTCAATATTCAAAATCTGAGACGTCATTTAGCTATTCTAGCAACAAACGGTTTCCTGTAGAACCGATATGTCTATGACTAATTGATAACTGATTGGCAAACAATACCATTCGTAACAAACCCTTTAAATGTTGCTTGAATTTTGTTATTCTGCTCCATATATTAGCATTCTTTAGCGGCGTTATATGGCGCCTAAACTGGTTTCATGGCCTGTAGCACGTTGTATTTCGACGTTTACTTGGGAGCAGGAGCGACCTGAAACAGCAACACAACAGTCAGGACAGACAAGTGCGTCTGAAGTGAGAACACGGTGTGATGGTGCAGCAGATATATTTGAAATTGAAATACGCGGTTTTTAATACAAAAGGGGAAAGTTATTACAAAATAGTTTTACTCATTATTCTGCAGGTTCAGACGGTGTAGGGCTTGTTCTTCTTCTTCCAGTGCATTCACTCTTTGTTGTCCTGCAATGAGAAATACAAACACACATTATTAATGTTGCATGTAATGATTTTTATTACCGTTACAGCCTTTATCAAGGTAATCGTGTGCTTGTTTCCTTAATAAGCCTGAAGCAAACATACGACATACAGCTATTCCACAACCCCTATGCAAGAAACTATTGGGAATTAGTTAGAAGATTTGTGTATAATTACCAATCTTCGTATTTTGGGAAAGCCGCACAAAAAAGTTTTGAGGTAATGCCACAAAAATTCCCCAGATCTGAGGAAATTCCACAGAAATTTTGGTTTTTCCCAAACATTTCCTCACAATTTTTTATTCCTTTGAGGGAAATCATATACGTTCTGTGATCAAATCCCAATAGTTTGTCGCATTTTGGGGACATTCTGCATGATTTCCGATTATCTCAAATACGGCATTCGGAAACATCTCAATATTACCGATCGTACATAAAAGCCTGAAGATCTAATAACAAGTACTCAAAAGTTGCTACGCATCAGTTCAAAAATATTTTCCAGTTAACTTCGCAAACTGAACGTTTTTCCAAAGCAATTAAACCATAATTGGTAGCAAGAAGCGGTCTGTCGAGATAGATAAGCATTGCCGTAACTAAAAGACTGATGCGTTATAATTGAAAATGTTTTTTAAAGCTTAGGAAAAAGTGAAAATTGTCCGTTAATAAATAATGTCTTCGAATTCTTAACAATTGCTAATGCGTTTCGGTTAAGTACATCAGCTTGTTGTTGAACTTTCATTCACGGTGTTCTTCAAAAAGAAAAAAAGTTACTCTTCTGCATAACAAACGCAGTATCAAAACAGCCAAATTGCTTAGAGTAGACAAACGAATTCTCTATGTCATAGCGATCATCCAACCTATGAATCCATAATGCCGCGTGAAATGTTAATTACGTACTGATGGTGTAACTTACAGTTAGGTCTTCGAACATTTGTGAAGCCGGTTGAAAATAAGATAGATAGGAAACAATTATTTCAGTATAAATGTTTACCAGAAACTAATATAAAAACAGAAACCGGTACTCAATTACAGATCGAAAGTGAATTTAGCTCACACCTTTTTTGAACTGCCATCCACGTTTGTTTACTTTACCTTTTGCATCGTGTAGAAAAGCTTGACTCGCAATATCTATGGCTTGTGTTATTTGGTTCTCTGGACAGATTGCACTTCGGAACCGTGAACACAGAACATCTATAAATATATTGAGCCTGTGTTGTGAACTTTGAATCGTCCTGTAGAATTTGTAACTACTGATACCTATTTTACTTCTAGTCGCACGTAAGGTGTAAGCAATTGCCAGTCTCGACGTCAGCACGTAAGCTTGATTTCCGATTACCATCTTATACGGTCTCGGACATTCTGGTTACCTGAACCTTTATTAAAAGCCGTTGCAACCTACCGATTGGTCGTGAAACGTGTGCTCCTCCAAAGCAGCTTCAAGAGTACGCATTTCCCCAGGCATTTTCAAAGGGGATGCGAAACTTGAAGTGTCTATGCTGTCGCTGTACCTGTCCTTTACGCCTATGGATGAGCACTCATTTGCTAAGGATGACTGAAACTTGCATGTTTTCCTTATCGTGAACCATTATGTAATGTCCGGATTAATGCTAAAAACCAGTTTCATGGAGTTAGAAACATCAAAATATTACATGAACTCCAGGACATTCGTAATAACTGCACAGTGGGTGATGCAAAAGCAATAACCAACATGCAAACCTACTACACTGTTACATTTGCGACAGGCCTTGAGAAATGATGTCACTGTATCTATGAAAATTTATGCAATAGGGGAATGATAACCTCATAATGTTGTGTCGGTACATAAATACACTTGCAAAATATATCTGTCAGTCTAATCGACGTACACTTGTGGCTTACGATAGAACACTTAAATATACCTGTAGTATTGGAGGGAAAGGGGTCAGTAAAAAAATCAGGAGTATTGTGGAATGCCCTTAACCTAATCCTGTCTCCATCAGTGATTTGTATGATGAATCCCGGATAACCATTTGAAATCAAAATGTTGCCAGGCCTGGTAGTCGACAACTTTCTGCGAGTTTCTGCAAGTAATGATTTCCTTAGAGAAATCATAAATGACCTCAAACTCAGCTACATTGTCTGACATGCTCTGATTCAGTAGACTTTGGAAGTAAACTTCTCCGGTATGTCGCTATGCAGCTTGTTTATTCGCTGCAAATCAGCAATGTACTGAACGCCTAATCTTTCGCATATAAGATTCACAAGAAAAGGCAGAAAATGACTCTAGACTACCATGTTCATTAACGTCGTCAACAATGTGCTTTAAACCATGCACATTATAGACAAGGTGTTCCTTACCGTAACAATTTCCGTATTCCAACATGTTGTTCAGATTAATACGAACGTTGCTGGAGAAGACACTGTGCCACTTTAGGTATGATAATAAATGTACTGATAATGATAGACGCTGGGAGTCTCTGTACAATGCTAATGGTAACCTATCATGAAGAACTACAGGACCCAAGTACAATAAAGACAACATGTATCCAGTTGCTTTCCAAAGAGAAACTTCATGCTGCGAACCACATTTCCTTTGAAAGTCTCATGTCATGTGTTGTTTACACTGTGTTAGCTACACTGATAGATGTGAAAATAAATTGGTCCATCCGCTTCAGTTGCTTACTTGCTAGATCCTTCCATATGAAAATTAATTTCTTGGTGATGCCTAAATATATCATGTCCATCGGTTCTGACGAAAAAACTTGATATATCTAGTGGCAGATTTTCTAAGGAACTTCTACCACGACGATGAATTGATTGAGACCTACTACGAAAAGTGAAATTATTTCTCAAGTCGCCACCATTGAGGAAAGTCGTTCAACCACCCAGTCGTGTCTCTAAAGCCTTAAATTTGTCACAACCAGCTGTACAATTGTGTTTGACGACAGGCCCGACGTTGTTACAAGCTGGAGTGTCACAAATAACAACTACTAACTTTACTGTCAAATGTAATTGACACTTATCTATCTGAAGGTCTATTGTCGGCAACTCTTGTAACTCAGTTACAGTCGAAATAATTATCCTGACTGATCAGTCAAAATAATCTAGTTGGGAGTAATGTGGAAATATATATTGTAATTATAATTACAGCCTCGCATATTTCATGCCCATATTTAGAGTGCATTTATTTGAACCTTTTCCTCAAGTATGTGGCTGATCTTCCGAATAATTTTGAAGTTTAGTATAATGTGTCAGGCCTTTATCAGGGAAGTCCTAATCACTGCTTTCTTGTGGCGGCGGTGTTATTTACGAAATTGAGAGGACGAAAAGCGAATATCCGGCGCTTTAACCGGGTTGGTAGACACGGAAAGTCCACCTAGGGGAGTTGGAAAACCCTGATTCCAAACCAATGGTGCACGTGGGCTCCAGTATCCTGAAGAAACAAATGGCGTATGAACCAATTGTTGGTCACCGGCTACCATGGGACTGCATCTCCTTACGATGCTCCACTGCCTTGTGGATCAGACCTTTAGGCCAAAGGCTCCGGGTGCGGTCCCCTAGGAAAACCACCTGCTTCAGTTTGGGCACCTGGGCAGTATTACAGCCCTCACACAAATCAAATGAGATTTGTGCGGCGCATATGTATCTGGTGCTTTTTGTACCAATATTCATGTGTTTAAATAAATAAAATAATGTATCAGACTGCACAAATTTGTTCAGTTTAAGCTCGTAAATTTAGAAAAATAAAGGTCAACTGTCAGTGAAACTGTCTATTCTTGTCTACGTTTGGCCTATTTTTACATTACATTTTGCGCATTCTGACTCCAAGACCGTGAAAAACCTCGTAGTGAAGTCTACTGGTTTCTACAGACACTACTCTTAATGGCCACGTTTCGCAGCCGTAAAGTAGAACAGAAAGAACTGCCGCGTAGTATACTCGTCCTTTTATTGATAGACGGATATCTCGCCTTTGCCATAGGTGACGTAAGTTGGCAAAAGCCAAACGAGCTTTTTGAATTCGTGCAGAGATTTCGTCAGACACCAACCCATCGGGGCTGATCAGACTTCCAAGATAAGTGAAGTTGTCGAAGCGTCGGACTACTTCACTCTCTATCCTTGGTCCAGGCGTTAACGCAAGCCAGTCCTAGAGTAACAATTTACATTTAGAGGGAAAGAAACGCATCTCAAACATCCTGACATTGTTACTCAGTGCTACCAAAAGACTGCATTTTGTCAGCATCTTCACCAAGCAGGATTATGTCATATGCGTATTCTAAGTCAATAAATGCCCCCTTGTACCATTATTTATGTTTTTAAATAAATAAATAACGGACCTCCTGGTAGGAGATCAATGCCCGAAAATTCAGTCGATGAGAAAGTTATTTCCAGCAGTAGGTCTGTGATAAAGTTAAACAAAAATGGGGGTAATGGACAGCCTTGTCGGACACCACTTGAGGTGGTGGGTAACTGTAGAGTAGCTGAAGGCCAGCTAAACTGTTCTCTAAAGTGTTAGGCCCATCGTTTTAAACGTCCGGGCTGAGAGCGAATTAGAATTTCGTCTTTTTCCGAGATATTCTCGCTTACACTTGACTTCCTAATAGCGAAATGTCATCAAGTTAGTAGCATTGACATGTTATTAGTTAATAAACCCTACATATATTAGAGTAACCAACATGAGTGTATCCTGTGCTTAATACAATCCATTATGCTGCCCTGTTATAAATATAGGATACAGAAATTCTGTTATTCGCTGTTTCGAAGCACCTAATGTGAAATGAACATTCCTTCCACAAAGCATAGAATTTCGTGCCAAGGTAAATTTTCCTGTGGTTTTTTGACTCAATCTATATGATTTTCGACATTTATTGTATAACTGATACACTTGCAATTAGTCATAATGGTCGCAATAAAATATTAATAGAAGTCTTCCCTAGTCTAAGGCTTTAGGATTGTAGACTACTGAAATGCGGTCTTAACGTATCAAAAGTGATTGTATGAAATTCCATTAACGTTATCTGAAATATTTTATGCTATTGTCCTGTTTTCACACAATTCTACTTGTTTGTTTCTTAACCGTTTTCAATGTCTGTGAAGCTACGGCGATTCAATTCAGTCTGATATAACTGACTTAATCTAGTTTACGTATTTTTCATGCGTTTTAAAATTAGTGTTCCAATTCCAGCATAGAACTCGGTCTGACGTCTATTTTACTTTTTTATCTGGACTTCATTTGCCAATTGGTCGATTCATGTTCCTATTTTAGGCCAAGAAACAACGTATATTCACCAATGGTCACATTCTTCGGCAAACTAAGTTGTAAATTTCATACCTCTATTAATTTTCTCGGAAGAACTCGTCAATTATTTGAGCTACTATATGGAATTCATCCTGTCTTGTGTGCGCTTACGTTTCATCATCGTGATATTTATCGGTTGTACGTTAAGGATACATTGAGCAACTGCAAAGATCCTGACAATCTCGTAGAGATATCAACATTTCAAATAACCGAAAAAGCACTCAAGTATGGAATACCAGTAACTCGAGTACCAGTCGAAAAGCTCAAAGAACTAAGTAATTCAAGAGCCCATCAGGGCGTGATACTTGAAGTTTCTCCTACCACCATACAGCCTATTTCAGACTTGTCAATTAAGAATTTGTTATTTTCTTGGAATAATTTATCAGACAATTTACCATACGCAAAAAAATATCATAGACCTACTGTTCTACTTCTGGATCATATGATGGATACCATGAATTTTGGGAACATATTGCGTTCAGCGGCATTCTTTGGTATATCTGCGGTAATACTATCTACTTCTCCGTGTGTCAGCCCATCACCTCTAATCAGTAAAATTAGTGCTGGTGCAATGGAAAGTATCCTATTTTATAGGCTAACTGATACTGCAATGGATATGAAGTCCTTATCAAATGCTGGATTTTTGATAGTTGGTACTTGCGGGGAAAGTCAACTTCCATCAAGTAAAGTTTCGAAATCTACAAATCTGCTGAAACCTGACGAGGTACTGACTATTCTGTAATTAATGTAACAGATTCACCACTATTTTCAGCGACGGTAACGCTCAACAATTTGTATTGAGTACTGAATTAATTACTTAGTAATAATCTACCATATAAACTGTGTGAAACCATGTGCTTCATTTTTTGGTCCTAACATTTGTAAAACATTATTATCGGTGCTCAGTATCTGTCAAACTATTCGTGCAAATATTGACGAATATTCGCATTTATTCATAAAACAGTTTCCCATGCTTTGACATATAAATATAAGAAGGGGTTCTTTGTGGATATCATAGTAATTTCAATAGTTGAGATCATGAGTCAATTTAAGCTAGACCACCATGGAAAATCTGGAAGCACTAAACAGCCGTTTCTTCAAAGTATGGGACTCCTCAGAAGTGCGCATCCACGATCCCACCTCGCGAGATTTGAACCCAGGATCTTCGGTCTCGCGCGCCAACGCTTAACCTCCAGACCACTGAGCCGGCATCCAACGATGTTAATGTCTAACTTCAACCGATCCACGAAATCGAGTGACACATCCACCATTGTCTTCAGTGAGTTACTATCTCACAACAAACCCGGTTGAACTTCACTGGTCACTGCTTCTCACTAGAACTCCAGGAAATACCTCTTGAAGCCAGTCACTAGTGTGCATATGTTGATTAATATCAGAAGGGTTTTCGTGGATAACTATAGTAATCTTAATAGTTGAAATCATGAGTCAATTGAAGCTATACCACCATGGGAAACCTGGGAGCACTGGATGGCCGTTTCGTCCTATTGTGGGACTCCTCAGCAGTTAGACATTAACACCGTTGGATGCCGGCTCAGTGGTTTGGAGGTTAGGCGCTCGCGCGCGAGACTGATAAGTCCTGGATTCAAACCTCACGAGGCGGGATCGTGGTTGCACACTGCTGAGGCGTCCCACAAACTAATCCAAAAAATTAACGGTGATTTACTGGATTATATCCAGTAGGGTAAAAACATTTAGTAACAGCACAACCAAACAGATTTTGAGGGCTTTATGCAGTAAATTAGTTAATATATTATTTTGAGAAGAAAGTAACCGAACAGTATAGATCCAACGTTGCAAATTTGTTTTTATGCAGAACCAGATTATTCCCAGGTTATGTAGAAACCTTTGTAACAAAATTATTGTTTCAATGTTTGTAGTCAGATTATATTATTATCCTGTAATTATCCCACTGTTTGTAATTACTTCAGGTAGGCGCTAATAATGACAACACAGGACTTTACCCTAGACCTCTGATATTAGCCCTGGGAAGTGAATCACGGGGTCTCAGCGAAAATGTTTTAAATTCTTGCGATTTATTACTGCGTATACCAGGTTATGGAGATTCAACCAAATTAAATCAATGTATATCACAAACTATCCCATCATCTTTAAATGTATCCGTTGCTGCTGGTATTTTATTATATCAGTTAACTATGTTTCGTCATGGACACGAAGCTGCTAACAAATCATCTTTTATTTCCCATACTGAATAAATCCTTTTCAATCTGTTTATGAGATTATTTTCATAACTTATGTACATATACATCTTGCATCGATTCTAATTTCACCTTCGTAGTGTACATAGTTATATTCAACCAGAAGTCATATTTTTTGGAACATCTTACTCTGGTTTCAAATAAATTGATATTATTAATTTCTTCTGCTTTTTTGCCTGAATTTCGATGAAATGCAGTTTTTATTTGCATTTACTTAAATGTTCGTAGACATATTATTATTTTAAAAGTTCAGTACTACCAACTATCTAACCATTCCATACTAGGTACTCTAATAGAGTTAAAAATCCCTGTAAATATTGAAATGGTGTCAATTATTACCATTTGTTTTATTGGCAAATAAAACGATACCATCGATGCATTATATGTTTAAGCTATGCTTTTTGAAATTTTTTCTCCATACGTAGGAAATTTTTACTTAAACTTTGACCAAGTAATGGTGTTAATTGTATCCATATGGATAATTTCTTGTTTTCTATTTACAAACACTGACTTGTTCAACTTTTTTTCTACTGTGGTTTATCCTAGCTTATTAATTGAGCACTTACCACTCAGAGCTCACATCTTAATAAACAATAAATCATGATTTGGATTTTTTGACCGCTTCATAAAATGAAAGATTAGAAATGTGCAGGAATTAACTTTATTAAAAAAATTGAAATAAATCGGATTCCATTCTTGTGATTAAAAACCGCTTATAAAGAATTGATCCAATATAGAGTATTGTTGTTTAAACAACAAATAGACAGTCAACTTTTACGATTTCTTCATATTTCGTTCAAAAAATGATTATACTATTGCCGTTAGTGAATAAACAGATTTGTTTTCAGTAGGCCATAGCGATATATGGGAGTTATCTTGATTTTCTGAAGTAGTCTTTGAGTTGTTTGTTGGAAACACTTGAGCAAAAACGTATTGATTGTAGGGTAAATCATTTAGTTCACCTGTTTAAAAAAATTTACTAAGAGTTTCCTAACATGATGACATTTCGCATATCTCAACTTCGTGATATCTACCTTCATTAAACTTTCTTGTAACGCGTTAAAGATCATCGTTCCATTTTCACTTAACATTTTGGGTCTAACTCGTTAGTGTTTGTACACGGGTGTTACTAAAACAAGTACTGTAACATGTAGGTAATGTTATCATAAGGTTAGAAACTAACTTATCATAATACATTTGACGAATTTATAAGAACACTACCCCTCAAAGATTATAACTATTCATAATGACGTTTTACTAATGATCAGTTTTTCACCAAACAAGTGTACACTTTGTTATATCAAATGTAGATTAACTTGTGTTTTATGTCGCACCTAAAGGTTGTAGATATTCACCAACTTTTTTCCCTTAACTTACAAACAGATTATGGAAAGCGAACAAAATAGTGAAATTTTGCTCCCACCATCTGCTTTTCTTACCTCAAATCCTAATCATTTTAATTGCCCTCAGAATGTGAACAATGATGCTGAACACACTAATTCGATACTAAGCAGTAGGAGCACTAGAAAATTGTCAATAAATTCGATTATTCCTATGTAAGTAATCCAAAAAGTGATTGTAAATGCTCTTTTAGAGTTGTATATATCTGAATTGTGTAACAGTGTTAATGGTTAATGCACATTCCTATGCATCAACTTGTTTGTTAAATCAAATCCCCTCGTGTTATAATTTCTCTTATTACTACCTAGCTACTCCTGAACACTACTTCACTCGACAAGTCCCCAAACCAGAACACGGCTGAACAGGAACACAATTATATTACAAATAAAAAGGTTGGATGTAAGTGGGAATCACGAAAAGAAAAACGTTAGTATACTCATAGTTTTTACGTATGAAGATTCAAGAATCTTCCCCAAGTATCCACTAGCACCGATTGGATAAGAAATAACCTATCAGCGTGCCCCAACCCAATCCTGCATGTAACGTGCTTTAATGCAATCTATATTGTGCTAACACCTCTCATGAATCATATTCCTCTTGTAAACAAACGACAATCATTCAAATACTTATTCATAATATTCATATATTCCTTCCGTTATGTCTGCTACAGATAATATTGATTATTGTTACTGGTACAACTGATTGGTTTGAGGTTTCTCTAGGAGTCTAAATGGTTTCGTTGCTATTACAGTGATATCAGATGTTGTTTCTAGCCATGAACATATAGAATATCCACTTATTTGTAAAGACACTTTCTGCCAGTTTCACCACTAACCAGGAAAGTTGTGGACAGACTTCTTGGATGTACGTGTGGCTTGACCTGGAAAAATTTTTTCTTGTCGTAGACTCAGGTGGATGAACAAAACTCCACCAAACTGTGTTTCATAGATTTATTAAAAATAAGTTACATTAATTTGTTTGCAGATTAAATAAAAATTCAGTCGATCTAAACGATGATGGTCATTTTGATCGAATCAATTCAGAAGACATACAATTCAATTACATCAACAAGTTTGTTAATGAACTGAAACAAGAAAATGAATATCTTTTACAAAGTCAGACAAAAGCTTTAGACGAATTGAATAAAATACGAGGATATATTGGATTGGGTAGAGTTTCATCTAAAAATACATTTAATGAAGATTCTTTTGAACAACATAAATGTATTTGCAATAGAGAATTATTAGAAAAGGTTATATATATAAATTTTTAACTAAATGGCTTGAATTAGACTATATGTTTTCGATTTCTAATCTATGTATCTTTTTGTCTACCACTTTCTATTTATTAATGACCGTTGTTTTCATCAAATTCCTTATCTAAATGTAGGTTTCGAGAGTTAGAGTAACTTTTTTTAACGTTTCCAACAAATAATTGAATTAAAGGTCTAGCTATCAACGTATAATATCACTTGTTCTTTTAAAAAATGATGTAATATTCATATTGTGAAATGAATGATTTGTTAACGGTTGATGAGTTATTAGTGGTTTCCCTAATCACCGGAAATGACTGAGTTATATGATCGTTTGTACAAATTTGAGCGAATAGTTTCACAGAAATTGGGCACCGATCATGGTGCAGACATCGGTAAAAACTATATTTCAATAATCTCAGGGACTGAAACTCAAATGATCCCAAAGTTCATATTTGGGAAAAACATTTAGGCTGTTGGATGTGAAGTTGAAGGAAGATAAATAGTGTTTGAAACATGCCTATAAATCCACACTAGACTTCAATAAGTTAGAGAATATATCTATAACTGCACTACACTCATTAGAAACACGATACAAAACCTACTTCAAAAGAACCGAAATTCTTCAGAAAAGTTTTGGTATTCATTCACAAAGAAAGACTAACACAAGAATCAATCCCTATATTGGTAAATAAGAAAAGTCTGAGTAGAAAAATGATCAAATTAGCCGCATCGTGACAACTGTTAATGAACAAACAAATTTCCGAACCTTGTCATCTACCCTATTTATGCCATCTGTAGTTGAATTCCAGCTAAAAGACCGACGCCTAGTAATTCAGTCAGTTATCATAATTGGAAATCGCCTACAATCATTTTCAACATTTAACATCACAAATAACTCTATTGCTGTTCGCATCCTATATACATGTTACGACTACCTAAATTCACTCAAATGTACTTATGGATTTATAGTAAATGAAAATGATATGTCCCTGATTCTAGTCAAAGGTTTCATTTACCCTATAAACCCTTAATTTAACAATAACATAAAGATATACATGCACAGGCGTATTCCTATCTAACATCGTGAACATATTCCACATATAACGACTCACCATATTACTATTAAAAAAATCAACATTTAAAAGTAATTAAACAGGTTTTTAGCATAGTTTGGTCTGCAAACTTTATTTATCTTTAGTAGTTTTTCTCTTGATTATTTCTCTGAAGAATCTTAAATCATTTGGCTAGAAGGAATGTGGAAACTATTTTAATATCAATCGTTGAAACTGTTCAGACATAATTTTCACATCATGACTGAGTTAGCTTGGTTATATACATCTTTGCCTTAAAACTATTAATTGCCATATGTTGATTAGTATCAAGTGAAACGTTGCACTCTCTAACACTCGCCCTACAACGTATATATTAAGATGTTTTCGAAACAGATTATCTGATCACTTTTTTGGTATAACTAAAGGAAATAGTTACAATAAATGTCATCTTGAAGCAATATTCTTTTAGGTGGATTTCTTTCACACCTTAACTTTGTATATTTAGTTCAATGTAGCAGTTTTTGATGGTCTTCTAAAATCTAGTTCTTTTTTGACCTCAGGATCAAAGGCTTCAGCAATTCACTAGCCTCTATTTGGAATTCGGTATGGTCCTTTTCATTTTGTCATTTAAAATCATAACAGAATCACCTAGATTTTCCATTATATATTTTTCAAATTCTTTTCATCTTCTAGCTTAAATATTTGGAAAATAAAAATTCTGAGTTAAATCTTCAACTTGAACAAATGAATGATCGAATGAGTAGTTTGGAGACAGTTTTAGAAATTCAAGAAAAACAGTTGTCCAGAGAAAGTAATAATGAAGTGCTACCTATTAACAATAAGTAAGTTTCACTATCTTTTTAGAAATTGTACAAACTATTGCATGTTTACTCGATGTATTTCCTTTATACGAAATAGCAACGTGATTATGAATCACGTTTGACTAACTAAATAATTAAGACTAAATCATATGAATGATCAAGATTTATTTGACACGAATACAAACTGACTGACATAGGCAGTAGAAATTTAGAATATGATCCCCAGTTTACAATATTGGTTTCTTTATATTCCTCATATATGTCATTCCAACAATCTGCCCAAGAATATTACGAATACAATTGCCTAACTAAATAAAATAGCTACTCAATGAGAATCACTTCGATCAACAATCCAGCGATCTTTCGTTTATTCAAAATGAAATTTCAGTTTGTTACACAATAATATAGTCACGTTATCTATGAGAGTTCCTATTGAACAAAAAGTTATACACTCTCTGTACATCTTAAAATATGTCACCTATAGGCTGATACCGAAAATCATTCCAATCATGAAAATATTTGTAACTGAGAGTTGCACACGGATCTTTAACGTGAATATGTGCTAGCTTCATTTAGATTCCTAATCATATCGACGAAAGCAAAATTATGTTCTACATTGTGTTTTACTATTTCTTGGCAAAGAGTTTTAAGATATTTAACTAATCCTTTCCCATTCATAAGGAGAGTCTGCCAAATTGAAGAATGGGCGTTAACCAGTCACTAATCCTTACAATGTTAATAAACACTAGTCTGTACCTCAAATGGTCGTTAATAGTAACCGACTCCGCTTGTATATAGCTATTACGGATTACGTATTCATTATTTTACATAGTACAATAATCATCAACAGATGTAGGTATAGCCTACCAGAGATAGGTATCAATCCAAGTTATCATATATAAGAGATGGTAAATTATTAGAAGAGATGAAGAGAAAATGAAATAAATAGTACTGGAACTAGCAAAGTTAATAAGTAAAAAAGCCACTAACAGTTATAAAATAATATTATTGAGATGGTTTTCAAGTTATACGACGTAAACCGTAGATCTTAAATATTTTCACCACAAATGAAAAGCTTTTCCCTACCTACATGACTCAGGCCAACAGTTAACAACTTCTTAAACTGATCTTATATCTCTATCTAGCCGCTTCTATACTCTTACAAACCTAATTCTTTGCTAACTAACATAGCGAATCAAGGTAGAAGGTGGTTAGATGCGCAAGACAAAAGTCTCAATCAGTTTAGTCAACTAAGATTCACAATCTATCCAACCAATTGATCATCTCTATCTTACACTGTCTGTCTTACCGTAACATTTTCACTTGATGGTTCCACCGTATGCAAGCAACAATTCAAAGACACATTACAACACTTTTAATCTGTACATATTACCTACTTTTAGAAGCCACTTTTAACATCCATATATGAAAAAAGAGCGAATTAACCAAACTATAAACTCAACTTTTGACAAATAATTGGATATCTTACCTCCCTCACAGGCAGCGTAACTTTACAAAGGGCAAAAAAGACACTAATATCTTCAGCTTGAATTCATCAATCACGAACTTACCATGATTGATAAAGTTATCATGATATGTGAAAAGACTAATTCTCTTAGTTGGCCCAATTCCTATTCTCAGACCTAAAAACACATATCATTCATTTACGATCACTCATTGTGTTCTGAAAATTATCTCTCAGTAACTTCATTACTGAAGATTAATTTGTGTACATACTTCACGATGAGATAAATTCTTTATAGGACATGTTTACATATAAAGTCGAGAAAACTGAATTTTTCTAAGAGGTGTATATGCATACTTAAATCATGAAAGCAGAAAACACTAACTCACATCAACTGACGTTAATAATAGTAAAGCTTCACAGTAGGAAAATATGAAGCTTTCCTTGTGTAATTCGATTTCCTCTTCATATACACACTTTTGACATATTCACATCCTTTTATTGGAATTTTAGTTGGAGATTTTTCGCTGAAAATCTTTTTAAACTATCATCATATATGTACCTGGTTGGTCAGTTTGTAGCTCTTTTACCAAAGATAAATCATCATTTGATTGCATAATCTATCGTATTGAATTCATATCTAAATATCACATGGTCAAATTGTGTTTATTTCTGACTATCATTTGTTACTTTAGATGCTTCGTTTCAGTTATATTAATAATTCTCATGTACAGTATAGATTCATTTAGCAAATATAAATTTAAATTAGGTCTGGAAAAGTGGAAAATTTACTTTGCACATGGCGTAGACATGTTTTACGCTTACTTATTGAAATAGAAAATCTGAAGTCTGAAAATTCCCATACTGTAACCAAATCAAAACGTGCCTATGAAAAGCTACTTTCAGAATTTGAATCTTTAAAAGCAACTTTAGAAGCAACTGAATTTAAACTGAAAGCTAACGAATCCGCACTGAACGTAGAACGTAATAAAAGACAGGTAAGTAGAAGATTTATCTGTAAGAAATAATAACGAAATTAAATAATTAAAATTCTATGCTTTTTATGTTGATTAAAACCAGTATATGCTATTAGATTCAATATCGTGGAGTATACTCATAAAAAAGGAAACTTCCAGAATAATAATAACATAGTTGTGAAAGCATGATCCAAAATACTGAGATTGTTACTCTCCTCGAAAATGTCTTCGAGTTAGTAAGTACACGTATATTTGTCTAACAACTTTCGTTGTATCAGGTTCCTAAAAGTAGCAGGTTTAACCCACATATATTCTGTTATATTTTGCCAGATACCTTTTGTCAATATACTATGACACCTATTTTTAAGTATGTAGAAAAACGAACCCGATTGTTTGGTTGTACCCTCATCGTATTGGTGTTTTTTGTTAAACTTATTTTAAAATGAAAATGTCCGGTAAAAAATAACCAATAATAGGTAGCGTTTCTGTGAAACTTTAAATGTTCTTAACTTTACACTCATCTATAAACTTAGATTTCATATCATTTATATAATTAGTAGACTGTCGGCTAGTAATTAACTCCACCTGTGGCTGTCCTAGGGCTACTGCCGGTCCCAAACCCGAGTAAAGAATGACGGTTTGGCATGGGGTCGGTAACCCCATCCCGTAAAAAACAACCTTGCTCAAAAAACGCCAACCATATTAAACAATTTAAACTCTGCCCTGGGAGTTAAAGGAAGAATTATGACGCCTCAGGATGATTGCCGAGATTCTTCGAAAGTCACGGAGCCGACGCCACTTCTCACAACCAGAACAACAACTTTCACAGGTACATGGAACGTCCGGACAATGTGGGAGACCTGGTAGACCAGTCAAATAGCAACAGAAATGATGAGATACAAATTGGCAGTGAAACCTATTGGACCCAAGCTGGACAGCAAAGGTTAGATACGGGAGAGATGCTGCTGTACTCCGTTCACGAAGAGAAAAATGATCCACACACTCATAGAGTTGCTCTAATGCTGTCCAGAGAAGCATGAAATGCGCTCGTAAGGTGGGAATCTCACGGATCCATAATTATCAAAGCATCATTCAAAACAAAGTAGGAGGGGATCACAATGAATGTTATCCAATGTTATGCACTCACCAATGATAGCAACAACGATGATAAAGATCAGTTCTACTTGAGGCTGCAATAAATCATAAAGAATTGCCCAAGAAATGACCTCACAATCCTGATGGGAGACCTAAATGCTAAAGTCGAAGTGGACAACACCGGATATGAAGATGTAATTGGACGACATGGACTGGGAGAGAGAAATGAAAATGGGGAGAGATTTGCAAATATATGTGCATTCAACAAATTAGTTATAGGCGGCACAATATTTCCACACAAACTAATACACAAAGCTACATGGATCTCACCGGACCACAATACAGAGAACCAGATAAATCATATTTGTATCAGTAAACAATTCCGAAGGACAATGGGAGATGTGAAAACTAGGAGAGGAGCTGACATGGCTTCAAGTCATAGTAATCAGCCAATCATAAACTCTATATGTGACTTTTCACTTTTATGATGTTTCTGGCAAAACTTCTAGTGAACGCTGATTGATTTCTAAGCTTTTGTTGTTTCTTGCGAGAGATTTTTTGGATCACCTTAATAGAATCCAACTGATGAGTCATAATTCTTCTTTCTGTATTCCACTGCTACCCAAAATCTAACTTTGATCTAGCTTGCAACTATATGGCAATATCAAGCCAACCTGGTTAGTGTACACTTTATGCTGAAAGAAACTGATCGACTCTAATTCTTAACATCAACAACATAAAAAGTACAAATCCTTACAAATTCAAATGTCTTTGTTTGAGTAGTACAGTCAATGAACGCAAAAACCTAATAAAATGAATTAACAGGGCTTTTTTGAGACATATATAATAATGAATTGATAGTTTTGATAAGTCGTACGATAAAATACAATTGGAAAATAATCCGCTAATTTCATTATCATATTTCTCAAAGTAATTCTATTCGCTAATTTTTGTTATTAGGGATTTGAAAAAGATTTGGAAAGTTTGTATTCAAAATTAGCAATGACTCAATCAAATTTAACCGAATCTCGTGAAAATTACAAGAATTTCGCTTTAAGTACAAAACAAAATCTTGATCAAATTGTAAAAGCTATACAAACGTTTATGAATTGGCCAGAATCCGGTTCAATGAATCAACAAAATCCAATAACAATATGCTCAGTTTTTCGTCGTTTAAGACATTTAGAAAGGCGTCTAGATTTTGCTAACTCTCGTCTTCCTGTTCTACGCACTCAGTTATTATTATCATCATCATTATCACATCGGAAAGCAAATGTAGACCAGTCAACGCAAGTCAGCTATGAATTAAAACATTGGATTGGTGATATTTTATCAGAATCAGAGAAAGAAGAGTAAGTCAAAGTCGGTTCTATTTAAATTCCTGTCAAATTAATATTTACAAATTCACTGAACAATTTATTATTCTGTTGTAATTAGATAATAACCGATGTTTCTGATTTATAACAGATGTTCGAATATTATTAGTCTTTCATGAACCTGTACAATCTCTTTGAATTTTTGTTCATTGTCGGTATTTGTAGTCTCACCAACGATCTTTCGTCACACATATCGATAATTTAACTTTTCTTATTTAAAAAGATTGAGACTTCGTTGTAAAAATGGCAGCTATTCTGAACAGTGTTATCTTTCTTTTGTTTATGGTAAGAAAAAAAGGTTTAAAATTCATAAAAGGAACTTGTTTTCTTTTTGAATTATACAGTTGCATTGAAAATCAAAATCTTGTAAAGAAACAAAAAAAGTAGTATTTTGGTAAGTTTATGGTCTAAATTGGATGTGACAAGAACGCTGAACAATAATCGACTAAATATACTCTTGGTTACCTATATGTCCTTGCATAATAAAATAATGACATCTGTATGCCCATAGCTTTTTGAGTGATTCCAATTCATCAACGATATATTTTGTTTTCTATGCAACAAAAATTGATATGCTAGATTTATTTTCATGGTCATAAAAGTATTATGTAATGATCACAGTCTGTACAATTTCTATATTTTTAAATAGGATTATTTCTCAGGCTCAAACCGAAGCAATTAAGGCTATAAAAGAGCGTGATCGAGCATTAGAACAGTTGTCCGATTATGTTAGATCATTTGATAATCGCGTTGAAGATGCTGAGAAAGCAGGTTTGTTTTAAATTTTAATTGCATGATATTATTTTAAGTTTGATCTATTCATATCTAATTCTTAAGTCATTCTGGAAGTATAATAGTCATCAATACATGTGTATTCATGAATTTAACAGAATATTTCCCTTTATCTTGGGAAACAAAGTGGTATTATCAGTCATACTGTTGCGGTTAAAACTCGCTAATAAAGGCGCGAAACTGTACGTAACCAATAAATCGAGTCTTATTCGAAGGAGATAAATCCATCTCCAATACTTACTGAAGCCACCTTAATCAATGTACATTACTTTCCTCCTGTTGAATAAAACCCATAATCTACTGTAATAACGGAAATCTATGTGTATATTCAGAAGTTCGGAGACTGTTTTGGCGTGCAGAAACTTGGTAATAATCCTAAACTAAAAAGATATTAATGAAGTCAGATTTTTACATTTCAACGCAGGTTAGTGTAGAGTATAACTCTACCGTACATCTTACACTGAATATCTTGTAATTGTACATTTTAAAAAATGATGACTATATTTGTAAAGTGGACTTATTCTATTGTTGATTTTCCCTTATCTGTTCTTAGTTGAAAAAGAATTATCAGAACTTCGGGAAGCAAACAGAATTTTGAATTTATCTTTACATGATGAACAAAAGGTCAGTTAGTTTCATTGATTAGAACTAAATCATAGCTATTTCCCACTAATTAATGTAAACATCTCAGTCCTGAAATTAAGTGATCAGTCGCGATCGGAATAGTTCAGTGGTAATCTTTCCAGTTAGTCCTAGGTGACTCTTGTTCATTTTTCTAAAGAAGCATTATTCCCCTCAAGATTATAAATCCACTTTATTCAAGAGTACCAATGCTTTCTACAGATTGCTTCTTATCGCTTAACGTCAAAGTGATTTTATTTAAACTCAGAGACTGATTAGTATAGGAATGGGTCTTGAGGAGAAATGTACGCCAAATATTGGTTATTAAAAATTAAAGTTCTATGTTTTTATAATGAAAAATAATTTCGTTTGTACGTAATGTCTACACAATGTAAGATCCTTACACATGAATTAATTCTAAAAATATTTAAACGTCTACAATATATATTACAACACTTAGTCTCTTAGTGTTAGATTTCTTCACACAACCTGTGCTTAACTTTTAAGTTTCTTGTACAAAATATTCAACCCAGACAGTATGTCTACGACTGAGTTGCTCAGTAGATGGTTAATTGTTAGTGACAACTTTTATCACTGATCAGATAAGACTGATCAATGTAATAATTACTTATTTCTTTTGCTTAACCTCTCTACCTCCCTCTCAGTGACTCATTATAAAAATCTGTTTAAATCATGAAACCTTTTAGATACTACGTATCCAACAGTCCATTACTTTATTTCCATGTATGAACACTTCTCATTAATGTTGTAGAAACTATACTTCAATGGGAAGAAGTAGAATCAATTAACTATGTGCATTAGTCACTGTACTTATCTTTAGTTTCTTCAGTCCTGGTCAGTTTGAGAGTTGTTTTTTCAGTATAAATAAGTTTTTTTCTTCGACTTTTATCGGTTTACACTACTTACAGTCTTGTTCTGTGAAAATTCATCCCTTAAAAGATGCTATCCAAGCACCGCGAAAGTCATTCCCCTATATCATTAAAAAAACTTAAAAAATATGATTTCCCATCTCTGAGTAATATACAATTCCAATTATATGTAGTACAAAGTTATCAAATCATATGGACAAGTTCTAATTTTTAAGTACTTAGGCAAGAGTTTTTTTTATTTTTACAGTTAACAAACCTATCTTTTCTACCATATCTATTAGATTTATTCCAATGACAATATAAATACATTAAAGTAAAAGCCCTTAGAAATTTCTTAATATTACTTCCAACTTTAAATATCATTTTACTTTATAATATACTTCTTATATCAGAAATTAAAAGAATGTTCAGATCAATTAAAAAGTGAAAAACTGACTAATAATGATCTAGAAAAAAAGTATATAGATGAAACTGAACATTTAAAAACTCAACTCTCTGAGACGGATATGAAACTTACCAAAGCTTTAACGGAACTACGTCGTGCTGAACGCCGTGTTGATCGAGAGATTAATGAAAGAAAGTTACAGGTGACTTTAAAACTTTGTTTTCTTCTCTTAATAATGTTCTTTCATTTTCCTTCTCAATACGATTCTAGGTTATTATGAACCTTATCTGAATATAATAGTTGCCTATATTAAGCATTTTTAAACACTGCTTCTGCTATTATTTAATATAATAGGATTACTGTGTACATTTGTGTGGTCACATAACTAAGAACATTGCCTACAAATGACTTATATTTGACATCAATACAAGCTAGGATAGCATTTTTCAGTTTATCAAACTAGTTATTTTATACACTTCATATGCTCATACCGAAACACCACTTACTTCAATTCACTATTTTTGCTGACATAAAATTAGTTTCGGAGGGGGAGCGCCTTTTCACAACAAAATGATGTTATCATTGGTCGGATCCAAGTGCTCTAACGTTTCAGAAGGGTCCGTAAAACTTTTCAAGTCAAAGTTTAAGTTGTCAGGTGATGTTACTCAAAAGCTACTTGTGGCACAGATGCATCACTACTTTCCTCCGGCTCCCAGGTGCTACTATACTATTTCCTGTTTTTTTCACCGCCTTCGTTTTCCTATTTTTACTTCATACAGGTGTTATGTTCAGGCCGAAAAACACTCGTTCCACATTCTAGTTACTTTCTTCCTGTGTATTTAGTTCCATGTAATAACATTTGTCTAATGTTGTAACTGTACATTGGACATATATCTAGTACTTCTAGGACACAATGTTCATAGGGATAAAAATTGTGCATAAAATTATATATGCATCTGAAAGCACATTGATCGTAGACTATTCCCCCGCTTTTTGTCATTACAATTTTATCTGAATTTTTTTTCATTGGTTCAACACATAGATCAATAATATTGAAAACACCTATAAATCCAAAATTCAAACTCTAGAGAATGCACTTCATTCGTTTTATCCAGAACCTTATCGTTGCTATGGTAACAATACAGCGAAGTCATCAAATGTTATTCAAAAAATGACGTGTCCAATAGTACCTACATTTGCAAGCCATATTGGTAGGTTTATTTTATGTCGCTTAACTTCCTCACATTTTAGATCTCAATGAATCAATACGTAAACTTGACGAACTTGCTGATCGGCTAAATAGCGACTTGTCAAGCGATTCAGATGCTGAAAAATATGTTGATCAGTGACTTGTAAAATTATGAAGCCTGTACATATTTTCATATTTTAGTTTGTCTCCACCACAATAAACTACATTAAAAGTCTATTAATATAAAAAATGTTAATATACACATAACAAGCGGAAAATTCCTTAGATGTAATTCCTATTTATGAAGTTTTTGATAGTGTGCGAATCAGAAGTCGCCAAATGATAATTGCATGTGATTGACCAAAAAATGGTTTTATTTTTCAAGGGGTAAGGTATAAACCACTGGTAGGTTTGATTTCCTAAAGAACAAATAAATAAATGGGTCCACATACAATCGATTCAGTTTAGTTAAATAAACTTCCTTCCTCACTCTCAATTTTTTTTCTTTTGAGTAGTCGGGTTTATGTATGTATCAATAGCGATTCCAGAACAATTTTTACTTCGTTCACTTAAAAGCAAATGGATTTGTATACTGCATGGTTTCATATGAGTAGTAATTAATAAGTTAAAGTGTACTAGTAGAAAAACACTCCGATAACATTATGGGATCACAGCAAGAACGAAATGATTGGTTAGAAAATATCTATCGTGAAGTGAGTATTCTTTTTGACCCCAAACCATATAAACACAACTAAAAATATAAACACGCACATCCGGACATTACGATTTGCCTAAATGTTATCTATCGTAAAATTTGTTTCAGCATACAAATTGCTTAACGTACAGAGCTAATTACTCATACTGCATGTTTACTATATGATTTCCAGGGTTATCAGATATAAAAAGTGACTGTGAACTTAGCACCTAATCCAGTCAACATGTAGTAACTTTTTATAACACCGTATCGACAAAACTGCGTCGAAATGAGATAGCTTTTCCTAAGGCCTCCTTGTGAGTTTTTCTAAACTGAATTTTCATAAACTGGTGTTTGTCTAAATATTCAGAGTAAAAAATTCCAACTTAATGTAAACAAATCAACACTTCATTTTATTTTCGGCGAGCATAATGTCATACAAATTATCGGTTTCATTTAGGAATACTCTTATGTAAATAACGGTTGCTGGACAGAAAGATTTCTTAGCAAATCTTATTGCGTAGCTTTTACTTACTGTACAGTAATATTTATAAGTGAGCGCATTCTTCTCATTGGAAATTTCAAAATATGCACTATCCTAAATGTGAGAATTCCCAGAATTGTGACGATTTTATTGGGTCATCTTCAGACTTATTTGTATACATGGAGTAGGTTTATTGTTTGACGAAATGTTCTCATGTGGACAAAGTATTCATAATCTGTTGAGTAATATCCGTGAGAGAGTTACTAGCATCAATAACAAGGTATTTTTCATCTTCTCCAAATGACTCTAATGTTTCTAGCTGACTTTCTATAAGTGAAGGGTGTATAAAATGTCCCCTGCGCTCACTGACCCGTTTTTGTAGCAGACTTTTATTTGCACTTAGCAACACAAAAAGTGTTCTTGTTGGATCATTTACATCGTTGCTACTGGATAAAATGTTTCGGTAGGACTTTTTCAAAGCACTACATGCTAATATGGCATTCTTGTGTTGCATTAACTCATTTCTTAGGGACTGAAGCCATGGCAAACGATCTTCATCATTCAGCGGAATCCCCATAGACATTTTAACTCGATTCTTGTCAGAATGATAGTCATCACCTTCTATAAATGGCCAGCTAATTCGAATCGCCAACGAATTTCCTACTGTTGATTTTCCGCAACCACATGGTCCCATAATTACAATGATCATATTAATTTAGATCATATAGGACCTATAAGCAAAAAATTTGAGTCCAACGATTAGTATTGTTTTGATTACTGATAGAAACGAAAACTGTATAATGACCTCAACTACATTTAATGTGTCTAGCTTCAAAGCAACCTAATAAGGGCGAAACTCCACAAAAAGATTCGGTGTGGATTTAGGCGAGAATGCAACCGACCAGTGCCTTTTTGAATATCCTGGGATAACAGTCAGTTTTCTACAAAACCATCTCAATTAATGAGACATTTCTCGAAGTCCAGCCCTTAATGTTACATTTTTCGCCAAAATTCATATCAAAGTTCACCTTTCACAATAATATCTCCAAGGTCCCCCATTTCTTCCCAGGATAATAAGCTCCTCTATGCAGTCGATCCAAATCAAAATACTAGTGTATGCATAAAAAACAATATTTTCGGAAAAATCAGACTACGGTAAAAAGCGTTTCTAACAAGATAAATGGGTAATGTATACGTCTCCGTTGTCACAGAGATGTATGGTTACCGTCACTTTGATTCTAAAATGTAGTAAAAACTAGCAATTAATGTGGGGTGTTTTGGAAAATCTGAATAAAAATTTGACACGATTAAATGAGCCTTTATGCTCGATAAAAAGGATCCGTGCCGCTAGAGGACACGAAAAAGCAACAGTTATATGTTGCTACTTACATTACCTTTACCTTCAAAACAACTCTTACATACTCGGATTGTCCCTCGTGTCATGAAAGAAACCTTGCGTTGAGATGTAAGTTTTTGTAAGGTCTTATTTACAGACATCTGATAAAAATTCCCATATCAGTAGGCCTAGTGATCGAGACTCACAAAAAGCAGTCTTAACCCCTGTAACTTAATAAAATCGACAATTGGGAATACCTCTTTTTAAGTAGTCCCAAGCAATATAAGTCTAGTCTCGTAATTTAATTATGAACGTGTGATTTTAACGTGTCGTTAAAAGTAAGAGGATGATTTTCGCTTAGCGGTTGCTTGCATTGTATACTTTATGGGGTACCTGATAAGATCTGGCTAGGAGCAGCCTTGACAAACTGAGGGCACTAGCGTAGTGCCAAAGTACAACTGTGTGACATCTTTAGGGCTGATCCTTTCTAAATCCATTTGTTGTGGGAAGACAACTTCTGGGAAGAACACACTTCCGTACGGTGAGCGGTACGACTCTGATCTCAGCTCATGAGTTTGTTGCTTTTAGTATTACTACTTTTCAACCAACCCGCTTGTCATGATAGAATCCGAATGGACGAGAGTTCCAGCCAATATACCTCGATTGGGTTACCAAGGTAGACAAGTCCGACCACTATGTCACGGTAGAAACCATGGTCAGAACGTAAATTCGATACCTAGTTTCGAATGCATGATATGAGACAGAACATATCTAAGAGATGTTTTATGGCCATCAACTATTTGTCTGGTATCCTTCGCCTTCTGAAATACAAAGAGACTGTTAAGCATACTAGATGTATTACAAATTTATCCCACAAGTTTGCTTGCTGAAGACATGTATCTAAAGTTTGAGTCCCAACAGTCTAACTGCCAACGGGCGCTGGTGCAGAACAGAACAATAATAGTTAGTGCTTGATCGAACTTATTTATGTATATTTATATAAGAAATTGGTTCTGCAACTAGCGGCGAGACTATCATTTATTGACGACCTTTGAGCGAACATTAAGTGACGTTGAGAAATGTTAGTCAATCAGTAAACAGTCGGCATAGAGTAAAAATACACTATACAATACCAAATAACTAAAGTGGATACATCCTTTCATATAGTCCAAAAACTCAAGGTTAGAAAAACGTTCGGAGGTTTTTAAATCGTAATGCATAAGGTAGAGGAACTCATCCAAGTGGCTCCATAATAATTGGTCTCTGGAGCCATGAAAATTTCACAAAAACCCTCTCAGCCTCGAACACATAGCTTCATTATTGTTTGTGTGTACTCCGGTTGTGTAAGTTTATCATTTTTATAATGGATATGTCCCCACAACACTCATATCACTGCACAGCCGAAGCTTCAGTAACATATGCGATTTTTTCAGCCAATGTTACTGAGTTTTTTATAATACAGTTGGCGGTAATTATTATGATATGCCTTATTCTTAATCTGAATCGAGCGATAAAGGTTCCTATTCTAGCAAACGTCTTCCTTCAACATATATTACATAGAAGGACAACATCGCGGTAGTATGCACAACGTCTACAAGTCACTTGATTACCACAATCACAAATAAAGGAACTTCATAATAGTCTTATTTGTCTTAGCCGCTTAATTATCAAGTCTACTGTAAAATTCTCCGTAAAGCCGGTCGTGCGTGAGCATCAGGCACTGAAATTGGTGCCATGACCTTGAAACACCTCAGGCTCTTCTGATTGGCTCGTCCATAAATTATAGTCTCGCCATATTAGCGATGGATGATGCAAGAGATGAAGCACATTAACACAGATGGCGATCCCAAGAAAATATAAACTTAATACAGCTAAAATGTATCACTGAATACGTATGTTCATAAAGTATGTCTAGCAAATACTATCTACTGTATATCGTTATTTTCCAGCTGGCCTAACAAGTACTCACTGACCCCATTGTAAGTTGGTAATTCTACACACTTCTGCAAAATCCATTGACGTTCTTCTGAAAAACTCCAAGATTCTCCATTTTTCACGGAAAAATACGGACTTAATGACAGATGCGCATAATTCACTACACATATATTCATGTTTTTTTTCTTCAGTCACGTTCTCAAACTGAACGCTATTGAAAAGCGTTAACACCTAAATTGTTAACCAGAACTTGTTTGTTGTCGCACACACGCCAAGGCTTTATGAACGTCTACCGTCTAACTAATTTCACGATTCTTGTACAAGTGTCAACACTTAGTGACAGTTTGTTCACCTTATCGAAGAAGTCCTATCTTGCCAGTCTTTTTAATAACGAACGCAATGATAAGCATTGCCGTAGTTAAAGACTGATAAGTTATAAATGGGGTTCTTTATTGAAGTTTAAAGAAAAGTACCAATCAATTGTCCGCTCATAACTAAAATCTTCGCGTTCTTAACAATCGCTATCAGGATTCCGTTATAGACATCAGGTGGAAGTTGAACTGTCATTAACACTGTTTTGACCGTAATTTGCACATTAAAACTACTGTTTTCACTTTAATTGAATTTATTTTAGTTAAAGTTTTCGCCAACAGTAACTCGCAGCGCGACCCGAAAATTCACAATCTTTAGGTTCCTTTTGCCATCCTTTGCTCTCGTCGCGCTGCATGTCGCTTTCAACAGGATATCGATAGCGTGGTCGTTATTCGTAAGGTACTTCCGAAATCTAGAACAAGCCACTTGAGTTTGACAAAGTACTAGAAACTACACTTCAGTTATTGCGCTTGTCCAATGGTTCCTTGACTATTTGAACTGCTCATACGCGCTACTGTTACTGCTTGGTTTATATTGCACCCAGGAATTCCTTTCGATATTTAGTGTTCGAAGTATACTATAGTTTATGACTGTACGTTGCATGACAATTTCGAGGAACGTTTAAGAGACAGATTGTTTTGAAGCTCATAAGATCCTGTAAAGCAAGAAATCCCAATGGGTATCCACATCAAGTTACATGTGAGCTTCCCAGTATACCTGTTATAGATTGACATGTAAAGCTGATACATTCAACCGTTTCTGATTTCAATGACTGTCGTTAGTATGATGTCATAGCTCAGTTTTGCAGACAAAATTAAAGGCTGTGACGGCTTAATCACTTCTAACCAGGGAAACCAGAATGGTTGTCAGTTACGAATCCTTCGTTCGTAAATATTCAGTCTTAAAATGTCGACGTCTGACTATTTCTTCAGAAGATTGCTGGATTCACATTATCAAATAATCTTAGCTCTTCAGTGACGTTAAAGAATAGGGCTTCTGTAGAGTCCTCACCTCCATCGTAGGTATTTTCAGAGAAGTTGACTTTAGATAGATTGAAGACTAATAGAATCAGGAATGAGCGTATCCGAGACAAATTGAAAATGATAATCTATCCAGCATATTATTGTAAAACTCGAGGTCAGCGGTGAACCTCCTGTAGATCACTTCAAATAGAAATCTCGAGGAGTTAGACGATCTTACTTAGCACCACACAGATTCACCATTATTATTAAACTCTTGAATGCACATTTGACGTGCAACCAAACAACATCATAGGTTCAGAGATGCTCTGCCCTCCATTCCCGTTTCCCTATCGTTGCGAAACAAATACATACTGAGTATTGCTAGCTCCCGATCCGTAATTTCAGATGTCCATGTTTCAAATATTTCTACCACATGAGTATTATAGTGTCACCTAGTTCACACAATCCATCCATTTTGTTCGGTAAACTCGCAGTGTTCATATATTGTCAGTTGATGCTTCCGATTTAAAACGCATTAGCACCCTCCTTTTGCCTGTCTGAATGAGCTCCATGTGAATAGACCAGTAACCTAACTACGAAGGATTTTCAGAGTTGATAGCCCTTGTCTCTCCTTCGTATTTTCCTTGTCCTTAACAGTCCATAGGTGGAATAATCAGTTCCAATTTGTTTTTGCCCACAATCCCTGCATTTATTTATTTGAACACATAAACACTGGTACAAGAAGGCACCAAATACATATGCGCCACACAGTAACAATGAGACCAGTAGTAGTCATCACTGATTTGTGTGGAAGCTTTGATACTACTCGGGCGCTCAGACCGAAGCAGGTGGTTTTCTTAGGGCGCCACACTTGGAGCCTTTGATCTAAAGGTCTAACCCACAACTCAGTGGATGCAGTTTCATGGTAGCCAGTGACCAATAATTGGTTGATACGCCGTTTGTTCCCTCAGTATCTTGGAGCTGATGTGCATCATCAGTTTGTAATCAGTGTTCTCCAACTCCCCTAGGTGGTTGTCCGTGTCCACCAGCGCGGTTGAAGCACCAGACAACCGCTTTTCGTCCGCTTAT